TGGATTATCCAAGGTCAATAAGATTAAAATTAGGTGAAAATCTTAAGTTGGGGATTGCTTTTTAAGGATGAGTGTTTAACAAGGGTCATTGCAGGATCATAAAAAAAGAAAATAATAAAATAATAAATATTTAGTGTTGTCTTATTGTGAAGCTTCTTTTTGTAGTCTTTATGACTCGAATGATTAACCTTGTAAGAATATCTAAAACCTAGTGTCATATAATAACCCAACTTGGGATTTATCGACCAAAAGCTTACTACATGGGTCATTTGAAAATCTCAACGGAGAGAAGTTTGCACAAAAAAATGTGAAAAAGCAATAAAAATTGCTACAAGCCTTGATGAAGTCTCAAACACTCATTTGAGAAAATTAGACTTTTGACAAGAGATTATTAGCTTAATTGATTCTTAGAGGTTGAAACAATTAAAAATAAAGAAAATTCTCGTTTGTTGAAGTGTTGAGATGCAATTAGTAAAATATAACCAAAATAGAGAGGGTGATGATTAGTATTATATTAGAATTTAACCTTATATCACACCTAGAGGAAATAGTGAAAAGAATGAAATTTAGAGGTGTGTATCTTACGAGCGAAGAAATGAAATATTTGACCATGGAGGTCGAGAATTGAATCAATTTATTACTTTGTGATGCTTTATATGAATCTTCACACGTACAAGTGTCGGTTTTAGTATTGTGATTTTGAAGTAATTTATAGTTTCAACTCTGAAAGTCAAATCCTGAGGCTAAAGGCAGGTTATCCAACTAAGCTATTTGTGTAGTTAAGTTTTATTTTGTTTGAGGACAAACAATTGTTTAAATTTGGTGGTGTTTGATAAGTGTATTTTGTACACTTATCTCAATCATTAAATTAGAGCAATTATTATTAATTTAGATGAATTGAGATTTTATTTTATACATATTTCGTTTGTTATGTGCGACTCGAGAAAAAACTATGGAATCGGACAAAAAGAGCAAAAAATTGGCTAAAGTGTCTTAATCCAAAGTTTGGGGACTAAATCTCAAAGTGCCAATAGTTGATTCAGATCTAATGCCAATGATTGAAGGAGTGGTGGCAACAATTAGATGGAATTGGAAGATAAAGGACCAAGAAGATATAAAAAATGAACTAAAAAGAATGAAGAACAAATTTGAGGGGCCAACGTGCAATAAAAGGAAGATTTTATAACGGTGCGTTTTGTGGTGTGTGCGACACCCTAGTGTATATTTACCAAGAGCAAATTCCATGGCCTATATGTGCGTAGTGGAACATATGGCTCGCGCTATGGCCATTTGAACAGCCCAGCTTTCTCGTTTGACCCAAATTATTATGGAAATCAAATTCAACATACTACTTAACCTACAAGAGACAGTTAGAACGGGAACACATATCAAAATCCTATTTTTCACCACAAGAAGGAGGTTAGCACAAGATTCAAAGGCAATTAATGCTAGAGATTGAAAATTCAAAGTCCAGGTTGAAGATTAATGAAGAAGAAATTGATTTTTCACTTTCCAATAATTGTTTTCTGTTTCGGGTGATATTTTTCCAAATCTTTTTTTTTTAATTTACATAACATGTTAGGCTTGTTTTTTTTTTTTAATGTATTGAATGAAGATGAAAGCTTTTATTATTTATTTTAAATTTAAGACGAGTAGTTAGTAAAATTCTTGCTTTTTTTTTATTAATCTGTATGCGTAATTTTATTATTTGATTGCTTGATCACCAATTAAATATATAGTTGCTTGTTGTAGTGTTGTGAGGTTCACAATAGGTCTACAACACTGTTTGATTAATGAAAAAGAGAATTAATTACAATAGAATTATCAATTGTTAAAAATGCATGAATGATACTAGTTACGTAGTTGATAATTGAAATATATAAAAATAAGTGGATTCGTAATCCAATACACTTATTAAATATACATATAAAATTCGAATTTTACAAGATTCTGTAAATTAATTTAGGATAAATACAAACAATAAATCTATTTTGTTCGCTTACTTTGAATCTGATTAGAAACTAATACACTTGATTGAATTTTATTTCTCGTGGGAAGATACACGTACTGATCACATATTACTTGTCAATGATTTCGTATGCTTGCGGATTTCGCACTTATATAGATAGTTGACAAAATATAGAGTATTATCGATGTATCAATGAGTAAGGTCAATTAATATACTCAAATGTCTTGTTAAGTTGAAAGTTTTGGAATAATCGAAATAGTGAGCACGTATTCAAATTAGAAAACTATTGCCACATTTTTTAAGGTCAAAGAGTTCATTTACGTATTTTCTACTTAACAATTTAAATTTAAGTACAACATTTAGTGCCGATGACCGTCATGATTTGTTCGCAAGGATAATTGGTAGTAGAAAATGTGAGCTTGGTAAGAAAATAATTAGAATGAAAAAATGGTCATTTTAGCCAAGTCTAAATATCGAATGTTTGACGGGTAAGGGAAATACATAAATTTGTTGATCTAAGGATGTAATTATTGGGAAAATTAGCTTTTTTCATTTTATGTAATTCAAGATTATGCTATCTGGCATTTATAGTGAGGGAAACTAAAAGTGAAAATTACATAAATTCAGGTGTTTAAACTTCAAAGTGCAAAAATCAGGTGTGAAGATTTTTTAATCAAAATTCAGATATTGATTTAATAACTAAATATTATACCCACCAAAACCCTAATTTTATTTCATTTCTCTCCCTTCTCTCTCATCATTTCTCTTCTTCTCCTCCCTCTTCATTTCCCGCCATTCTCTCTCACCGGCAACCGACGACGAATGTGATGTGCCAAAAGACACTGCTGGCGTCAGACGCTGTTGAGAACGACTTTTTGTTTTCCAATCTGCCTTCTCTCTCTTCGACATCATCAACGTTTTGCTGTCAACGCCGCTTCATGTCTCTCGCACATGGGCTGCTGAGCTCATGCATGAAATAGCAACAACGCGAAGGTGTGGTGGTGATGGATGTAGCGTTAGTGTTTTGTATTGAATGAGGCATCTCTTCACGGTGCTTGTGTGCGTCGACGACAAGCGCAGTACCAACCACCATGCGTGATGCACAACACCCCCCCCCCCCCCCCCCGAAGCAGGAACGTTTGTGCCAACGTTTTTGCATCTGTTTCTAGTTGGTATGGTGGTGGTGATGGTTCAGTCATTTGGGGATTTTTCGCACGATGATTAGGTTGTTTCTATAGGTGTGGTAGTGTTGGAAGAAATCTCCGATTTTAGCAGATAGTGGTTGATTAGAGTTGCAGGTGGAGGTGGTGTGTGGTGCTGTGACCAATTAGTTTAATAATATGTGACCAATAAATAAATTGTGACCTATAATTATATGCATGTGATCATTAATTGTATAATTGTGAATTTATTATATTTAAATAATATTTTTTTAATTAATTAATGAAATACCTGAGTTTTGCATTTTTTGAACTTAATACTTGATTTTTACAATTGTGAAACTTAATACCCGATTTGTGAACTCTTCCCAAACTAAAAGAGATGGTTTTGTCTAATTTTCTCTTGGATTAATTTTTCAGCCCAAGCCCTCAGCTTGTACAAGTTAACTCGGCCCCAAACATGATGGGTATAGTGGAAAATACTTTTTGTTAGGCCTGGTTCAAAGAAGATCCATTCACACTAGGCCCATAGTTTTTCTAGTATCTTTTCCCCACCTTGAGACATGATATGTCAATTATTTAATTGATAATTTTATGATGAATATCAAATTGTTCCTATTTGTGCCCCTTTTTTTTTTTTTTTTTTGTATTT